AATCACAGAGATCCCAGGTATGGAGAAAGTTGACAACAACATCTGTACTACCCTAGGGATTTTATCTAGAAGCAGATCCCTTGCACAGCTGCCCAGCAAGAAGGGATGATCTAGTGTAGACATGGTATGCTAAGGTACCATGCTGTGGATCAAACACTGAAAACTTGAATGGCAGTGACAGAGCAACACTCAGCAAGATGCTCAAGGCTGGATGTCCAGGGACAGGCATGCTTAAAGGAAGCACTTTAGGAAAAAATAAGGCATGAAATTTGCCTATACATGGATGGACATGGAAAATATGATGAGTGAAATGAGTCAGAAGGAGAGGGGCAGATATAGAATACATTTATTTGTAGCATATTACGAAATATATAGAAGACCAAGGCCAGGGATAACAGGGGCTAGGAGGAGGGGTCACCGGTTGGAATCAGCCACAAATGTGTGTGGAGCAGAAGGTAGGTAAGATAGAGAAGGGATCTGTTATGATAATAACAGTTGGGAATGATCACACTGGACAAGAACTGAGTGTTAAAGGTAGGTGAAGGGATATACATGACAAAGTTTCAGTATCAGTACTGCAAACCACAATGTCCAAAATGGGGTGGGGGGAGACAGAGAGAGACACAGAGAGAACAAAAGCACCTGCGATAGAGGCAGACTGGGAGTGGGGTAGGAGGGGTGGGGGGAACCTGGGAACACTGGTGCAGGAAAATGTACACTGGTGGAGGGATGGGCGTTGGAACGCTGTATGACTGAACACTGTATAACTGAAACTGTATGACTGAAACACTGTATGACTGAGCTTTGTAAGGGTCCATCTCACAGTGATTTAATTTTAAAAAATCGTTAAAGAAAAAGGAAGCATGCCTATGTGTCTTTGGAGCCTCTGTGAGTAATCTGCAGGGAAGAATGGGGGTTCCGTTTCCCAGGGATCCCCTCATTTTCTCCAACTCTGCTATTCATGCGACTCACTCAGAAGTGCTATGACTAGCTGTCACACGAGACAGGGCGAAGGTGATCACGTCCCTCCTCCAGGGAGCTGACCTCCCACCTCCTCGTCCAGCTCCTTCTCCACTCATTGACACTGGCACCCGGTCACCATGTCCCAGCTGCATCACCGCCAACGAGGGTTTGCGATGAGGGACTTGGCCAAGTCAGCCAGCAACTGGCATGCATTGGTACCATCGCGCAGGTTGTCAACATATTGAGCGCCACTGAGTGTTGCTTTTAGACCGCACATGAAATCACAACAAATTGCAGTGTGACAGGGATGGGAGTGAGGGGTGGTGACGTGGGGAGGCCTTCTTTGGGAGAAAACAGAAAGTGCTGTTTGGCCCGGTCTGAAGGAATAAATGTCCATGAAATGGTTTGAAGCCTGCCTCACAAGCTGGGGGAGAAGGCAGCTGGGATAGAGAAGGGATCACTAAGTCAATGATGGTTGGAGGGATCGTTCAGGATGGAAGATGTGTGCTGAAAGTTGACAAAGGACCAAACATGATAGCCTCCCAGTATCTGTATTGCAAACCATAATGCCCAAAGGGGGAGAGAGAGAGAGAGAGAGAGAGAGAGAGAGAGAGAGAGAGAGAGAGAGAGAGAGAGAGAGAGAGAGAGAGAGAATAAGGAGGAAAGTGCCTGCCACAGAGGCAGGGGGTGGGGTGGGGTGGGGATGGTGAGAGAGATACTGAGGATATTGGTGGTGGGAAATGTACACTGGTGGAGGGATGGGTGTTTGATCAATGTATAACTGAAGCTCAATCATGAAAGCTTTGTAACTATATCACGGTGATTCAATAAAAATAAATGTAAAAGATGGGAGAAAAATGCCTGTGAAAGTAAAGGAAATGTCTGCTCTCCAGAGCTGAGCAGAGGCTGAACCAGAAAAGGCTCAAGGTCATGTAGTAAGCTTCCCCCCTTCCAGATGGGAACAGGAGCTGGGACACCTCCCCAGCAAAGAAGTGGACCCAGGAGGCACGAACACTTCCCTCCAGCCACGCCAGGGTCTGGACAACCAAGGGAAAATGTTTGAAGGAGGGGGGGGGGCTGCATGGCGCCCCCCCAGCATGGCCGGTGTCAACCAGTCTCTGCCCTCCTCCCGCCACCCCCCGAGAGCCTGAGAGTTGAGGAATTGGGGGAGCCAGGGGGTTTCTCCCACCCTCTGATCCTGCTTCCCTCCTGCCTTCTATCCACTGGACCTCACGGAGAATAGTGCCAGTGCATCTTCCTCTTTTTTTAAAAAAAAAATATTTTCCTCCTTGTTGTCTTGGTTTGGGACCACACCCAAGCAGTGCTCAGGGATTCCTCCTGGTTCTGTGCTCAGGGATCAGTACTGGTGGGCTCAGGTGCCCGTGTGGCGTGCCTGAGGGGTCAGGAATTGAACCTGGGTTGGTCACCAGCAAAGCCAGCATCCTCCCTGCTGTACTGCCACTCCTGCCCAAGTGTCCCTTCTTCTGGATGGTTAAGTCTAGCATCCCTGGCCACAGAAGACTTCTCCTGGTCCTCAGGGTGCTGGCTGGACAGCTGTGTCTTTTCTGTGACCACGCTGGCCTTTCAGGCATTCCTGTCTTCACAAGACAAGAGTGCCCGCATTAAGTCCTAAAGAGGGCAGAAAACACTGCTTTGCTGGAAACTCAATGCAGACCTTCAGGCTTCCATCTCACCAACAGAAAGAATGACAGCAGCATGGCTGGGACTTAAGTAGAGAGACACATAGAAAAGAAACTTGAGGGCCTGGAGCGATAGTACAGTGGGGAGGGTGTTTGCCTTGCACATGGCTGACATGGATTTGATCCCCTGTATCCCATATGGTCCCCTGAGCACCACCAGGAATATTCTGAGTGCAGACCCAGGAGTAACCCCTGAGCATTGCTGGGTATGACCCCAAAAGCCAAAAAGAAAAAGAAAAGGGACTTGAGACCACTTAATGGCATACAAAGAGAAATGAAACCAGTGCTTATCTGCACAGATATGTCGAGAACCTGCATTTGTGAAGCAAGAGCAGGGAGCTATGAAACAAGAATGGGACCGAAAGGTAATTTTTGTAATAGCTAAAATACTTTCTTTGGTTTGTTTTAGGACCACACTGGGACCACACCCAGTGGGCTCTGTGCTGGCTAGTTCATTCCTACAGCCCGGGAGATACAAACCTCAGGCCTCCTGCATGCAAAGCATCCACTCAGCCCTTGGAGCCATCTCTTCAGATCTATAGCTAACATCATTTTTAAAAAATAGAAGGTCTGGAAGATAAAATTGAAATTAATCTAAAAGAATTTCTTCAATGAAATACATGAAAAGTAAACAAAACAAAACAAAACCAAAAAGATCACTGTAGAAAGTTGGGTCAGGAGACTACTGTAAAGGTTTATCCAGAAAAAAAGGACAAATCAGAGAAAATTGTGAAAAAAATTCACAAAAATGAAACAATTGCAGAGAAGAAGAAAGAAATGAGTGTTCACTTAAAGAAGGACCACATGAAATAAAACATAAACAGACTTAGCCAGAGAGAGATGGCCAATTTAAGAATGTGAGGGGTCTGGAGCGATAGCACAGCGGGTAGGGCGTTTTGCCTTGCACGCAGCCAACATGGCCGACCCAGGTTCGATTCCCAGCATCCCATATGGTACCCTGAGCACCGCCAGGAGTGATTCCTGAGTGCATGAGCCAGGAGTAAGCCCTGAGCATCGCCGGGTGTGACCCAAAAAGAAAAAAAAAAGTGAGGAATAATAAAAATATCACAAATGCATTGCAGAGCCTGGCAAGCTAACTGTGGAATATTCAATATGCCAAAAACAGTAACAATAACGAGTCTCATTCCCCTTACCCTGAAACAGCCTCCAATATGGCGTTGGGAAAGACGAGTAAGGAGAGGCTGCTAAAATCTCAGGGCTCGGACGAATGGAGACGCTACTGGCAACCACTCAAGCAAATCGATGAACAACAGGATGACAGTGATACAGTGATATAGTGATCACAAATGTATTGGAAGAGAAAACAGCAGTTCTTCCAAAAGTTTTACACCACCACATTTCAGTGTATCAGCATGGGAAGCACAAGTCAGTGGAATTATGCCCTGAATAGCTAAGTTTGAGCCTAGAATTGCATGCTAGACAAATTAAGGTCTGGGCAAAATGAAGACACTTTAAAACTTGCAACTACTCACAAAAAAATAGGTTTTAAAACAAACAAAACCCACACCTTTTAAGAGGGTTCCTTCAGAGCCACTCCAGCAAAACACACACAAGTTCTCTTACTCTCTCTATTGGAGCGACAGAAACTATGAGTTTAAGTTGGATCAGGCAGTTAGCAGGTTCTGAAGTGTTTAAGATTCGCTGAATTCCACACAATGGACAGAATGTAAAACAGCAAGATCTCATCGATGTGGTACAAGAGCTACAAGAAGAAAAAGAGGAACATTTAGAAATGTGTAAATATTAAAAATCGCGTTAAGGAAATGTCATCCAATAACGTACTACTGAAAAATAAGGCGTAATAACATTTGGCGGGGCGGGGGTGGGGTGAGGGTGCTGTATAAGAAAAGAGAAGTGTGGGCATATCAATTTATATGTCTTTATCGGGGTCTACATAAAAATGACCCAGGCAGGGTTCCATGATTCCGGGTGGGCATCGGGGATCTACGACGAAGTTGCTGACTTCGAGGCGTATATACAACAGCGGGGAGAGGGACTGCGGGTAAGCAATAGCTGACTGAAAAACAAAACAGAGGGGCATCCCTTTGCCAGTCTTCCGCCCATACAGCTCCGTGCTTCTACTTGCGAATTGAGCCTGCGCCGGAGCGACTGCGCACGAGCCAACTGCAGTCCAATCAGAATCTCGAACGGGTGGGCCGGACCAACCGTGGAAAGCGGGGCGGAGTGTAAAAGGCCTCTGGAGGCTGTGATTGGTCGGCCGCGGGGCACACATTCTGCTGCGGGCGGGACTCCGCCCGGAGCCGCGTCCAGTCTAGGCTTCTCCTAATTTGGGAAGGGCCGGGCTTGGGCGGGGCGGGATGCTGCGCGCGGGGCCGAGTGCGCCTGCGCCGATCGCTGGCCCAGGGCGTGTTCCCGGGCGGGGTGCGGGTCCCCGGCCGTGCACTGTAGATCGAGTGCGTCCAGCTGCTGCCTATTGCCCGGGCGCTGCCATCCCAGGTGAGTGTCTGCGTGGCCTGGCACGAGAGTGCCGCCCCTCTCCAGGCTCTCGATCCTTCCCAGACCCTGCCCGCTGCTGCCCACTGGCCAGGACAGTCCCAGGCGGTGCCATCCCGGGGTAGGTGCTGGTGGGGGTGGGGAGGGGGGGTGCATCACTCCCCTGGTCCCTCCGCACCGTCGCCCACGTGCTCTGCTGGGTTCGTTGGCCACAGGTCATCATGTCCAAGTCTTTGAAAAAGTTGGTGGAGGAGAGCCGGGAGAAGAACCAGCCGGAAGTGGACATGAGTGACCGCGGCATCTCCAACATGCTGGACGTTCCCGGCCTGTGTAAGTGTTTCGGCCAGGGCCTGCCCCGCTGGGAGGGGATGGGGGAGGGTTGGCAAGAGCCCCTGAGCCGGGCACTGTCAGGTGCTGGAGTGAGTCCGCGGGACGCTTTGCAAACTGCACCCCGAGCTCCGGCGTGCGGAGTTTGCAGCGGGGTTTCTTTGCTCTGGCTTGGGACAGGGACCCGGGAGGTGGGAGGAGACGCATGGGCACCTGCGGGGTCATTGAGGGGCGGTTGTGCATGCCCAGGTCGGGGTGAGGCAGTGGGGAATTTCTCACAGTAGTTGGAAAGTGTCTTGGAGTGCACACTTGCTTTCTCCCCTCACCCCGCCGTTGGCATCTCGGCACGTGTCAGAGTCCAGGTCCTGGGAGACGGGTGTTCATCATTGCCCGTGTCACGGTTTTGGTTTCCACCTTTGCTTCCACACGGTTGCTGTGAAGGGTCGGTAACTTTCCGGCTTGCTGCCAGTTTCACTGTCGGGAAGTTTAGCCCTGTTTGCTCACACCAGGCTCACTCCTTTAACCCCAGGCTGCAGGTTCAGGGGCCAGGTGAGGACTGTTCACCCACAGTCATTTTCTCTATGGCGGGACCTGATTTCAGATCCCCTCCCCCGAACACACACACACACACACACACACACACACACACACACACACACACACTCCAGCCTCATGTATCAGGCTTTATTTGTGAGAGCAGCCAAGAATCCAGATAAAATGTCCCATTTTTAATTGACTTTTTTGTTGGCCTCCCCGTGCCTGTGGGTGTGGGGGCAAGGGCCACTGCCCCTGGTGAGGCTCACCCAGGTTGCGTACACTGATGGTTTGGTGCTGGGGCGTGTAGTGGTGAGGTTTGGTGGAGGCTCAGTGGTGCTGGGGACCCTAGGACCATGCCTCGTGGGTGCGCGCGCGTGCACGTGTGTGTGTGTGCATGCGTGGGGAGGAGGTATGGTACTGGGGATCAAGCCTGGGGCCTCACACTGAGGTGCAAAGGGGGTGGAGGGGAGAGTTTGGGGGTGGGTGGAGGGTGAATTATGGGGCTAGTGGGGAGAGGTGGGGGTTGGAGGGGAGAGTGTGGGTGGATTAAGCAGGGCACCCGCTGACACAGGACCACTACTCAATCCCTGGCACCCCTGGCTGCCATTTGTACCCTCAGGACACCCCCAACATTGCAGGGTGTGACCTGACACTCCGACCATTGAACCATCTGTCCAAGTCCTCGAGCATCACTAGAAAGTGACCCTTGCTTGGGTCACCTCAACACTACTTGGGCGTCCCTTATGCCCCACAGTTGCCGGCTTTGAGAGCAATGTCTGGGCCCCCCGAAAAGCTGTTGAGTGTGGGGGAGCCTCATCTTTCCCAGGGAGCCAGCAGGGTCTGGGTTGGGGGAGCACGGGCAGGCTGCTGCCTTAGGGCAGGGGGAGGCTGCGCACGTCCTCTAGGAAGCGCCCTGCCTTCCCACCTGACCTTGGGATGTCATACCTTGGGGGTGACAGTTTCTGGGAGGACAGCCACGTTGTTTCTGTCCGAGTGGGCAGAACAGGCCCGGGACGGCCCACGGGTGCCTGCTGGCCATGTGGGGGTGGGGTGGGGTGTGTCTGGAGGCCTGAATCGAGGAGGCTGTCTGCAGGCGCCCAGGGTCCCCACCCATGCGGATGCCGCATCATATTTATAAGCTGGAATGGCTTTGCTATCTCTCTGCAGCGGGCCAGTTCCTGGAGCCACAGAGATGGCCACTTGCTTCCTGCTGGAGCTGGTTCCGGTGTGTCCCCGAGGGCCTGGGCAGCTCTGGAATCTTCCTCATAGTGCAGACTGCCCCCTCTGCGGGCTGGCCACTGTCTACCGAGGCCCCAGCTCTCGTTCCTGGGCTCAGGGTACCTGCACAAGCTTCTTCCTCATTGGGGGAATTCTCCCTCCCTGAAATACTCCATGTGGGGTGCTACCTGGAGTGTTAGGATTTCTGGGGCTGGGGGGAGGCTCAAAGGACCGGGTGCAAACTTTCCCATGGTGACCCCAAGCTCCATCCCTGGCACCGCCAAGAGTAGCCGCCAAGCCCTGGGCCAGGTGGAGTCCCCGAACCCGGTGTGAGAGGGACGGGTAGAGAATGACTGCACCCATGTGTGGGATATAAAGAACAGAGAGTCAGAAACTAGAATCCACGGCCAGGGAGAACAGGGGCTAGGAGGACTGGCCAGTGGCTGGAATCTGCCGTAAGTGTGTGGAACGGAGGGTAGGTGAGGTAGAGAAGGGACCAGGGTGACTATAGTAGCTGACAATGATCATGCTGGACAGGAACTGATGGCTAAAAGTAGGTAAAGGCATATGTGGGATAAACTTTCAGTAACAATGCCCAAAAGGAGAGAGAGAAGAGAGAGACAGAGACAGAGAGAAGTTCCTGCTATAGAGGCAGGCAGGTGGTGGAGGCTGGGGGGTGATGGGAGGGAACCTGGGGACACTGGTGCTGGGAAATGTGCACTGTTGGAGGGACGGGCGTTGGGACGTGTATGACCGAAACCCAATCATGAGCAGCTTTGTAAGGGTCTATCCCACAGTGATTCAATTAAAAAAATAGAGGAAAAGGGAAAAGGAAAAATAAAAATTTCTGGTTTTTTGTTCTTAAAGGTAACTAGGTCAGGAAGGGTGGAAACCAGCCCCCAGGTCGGAAAATGGGAGGTCCCAGCTGCCACCTTGCATTGTGGGCTCAGCAGGGGACGTCAGCCAGGAGTGTCGCAGGCAGGCGCCCAGGGAGGGTCCTTGGTGCCTCAAGTTTCTTCCTTCCGTTCCCCAGGGGAGAGGGACCTGGGCGGGAGGTTCCAGGTCATTCCAGCTGCTGCAGCCGAGGGGCTTCTCCGAAGGCCAGTGGATTTGGCCGTGCAGCTAAGCATAGCCCTGGGCCCTGAGCCCGGCAGTGGCGTCGGCAGCTCTGCAGGCAGCGTGGCCCGTCTGGGACCCTGGGACACTTGAACTGGTGTCTTGATTCACTTTGATTGTCTCTGAGTTTGGGGTGTCTGCTGTGTTCAGAAACAGACTGGATATTGGCTCTGGAGCACCCTCACCTTTTTTTGTCCTTTCTCTCTTTCTGAACCCCCGAGTTTGGCGGTTACCCAGGGGAAACTCAGGGAAGTGGAAAGCCCCATACCTTCACACTTTCCCTCCCCTCCCAGAGGGGAGATGCTTTTCCAAAGAGATGAACGGTTCTATGTGGACATAGGAGAGTGGGACAGCAGAGATGCATCAGGGAAGAGAAGGGACTCAGCTCGGGGCTGGGGTGGCGGGTGACCCCAGCATGGCGTGACGGGGGCGAGGCCTTCACCTCTTCTTGCAGCCTCATTTCGGTGCCTCTCCTGGGCCCCGGGAACCTGTGTCCCATCTCTGCACCTGACACTGCACAGGGGGATCGTTTCCTGAAGAAGGGATCCGGGGAACCCAGGTGGGCCCTCTTTTCAGAGACTGCACCCCGCCTGTCAGAGGGAGGGATGGTGCCCCACCACCTGGAACATGCTAGAACACTTGGCGCGCCAGCTGTTGATTTCAGAAGGGAAGAGCTGAAAATGCTCCCTCCAGAGAGTTCCTGGGGGTTGGGGGAGGGCGCTCATGGTGGTCAGTAGTGGGTGGGCCTGGTGTGTAGCTCAGCCCAGGCTATGGTGTTTGGCGACGCGCTGGGTAAGCCCAGGCAAACTGCTCACCCTCTCTGGGCTTCGGCCTTCTCCTCTGTAATGTGGGTCCAGTGAGAGTGAGTTGCATTTGGTGCTCGGAGCACTGTATAAAGAGCCTGGCACAGAGCTCAGGGGGACAGGCCCGAGGAGGGTGGGGGACAGCTGGGGACCATAGGCAGAGCTGGGGGTGGTGAGAGCCCAGGCTTGCTGCAGCCTCCTGCCAGGCCCTGGGGTGGACAGGAAGCTCATTCCCACCCTGTCCCTCAGAGTGCCTGGGTCCGTGTGACCCCGCAGGGGTGGCCCTGCCACCTGCATGCCCCTCCTGCCTCCTTCCTAGCTGGGACTTCACGTGTTCCTTCTCCCAGGGTCTCCCCAAGGGCCCATATGGCAGCTCTGAGGGGGAGCCTCACCCTCAGCACAGGACTGAGTCGGGGCTGGGATGGGACGAGAGGTAGGAGGCGGCGGCTGGGCTGTCACAGGGGCTCTGGCTCTGTGGGGAAGGACGGGTAGCCATGGTCTCACAGGCTCTCACGCGCAGCTTCTTCCTGGGTGTGTTTGTGTTAGGGGTGGGGGCTCCCCTCGGAGTCGGGGGCCGCCTCCCTGTCGACTGTCATGTTTGGATTTGGGTCATACCTGGTGATGCTCAGGGCTTACTCCTGGCTCTGCACTCAGGGATCACTCCTGGAGGTGCTCAGGGGACCGTATGGGAGGCCAGGGATCGCACACGCTCACTTGACTGTGTACAAGGCCAGCACCTTCCCTGCCGTGCTATCAGTCTGCTTCCCCCCCCCCCCCCCGGTCGACCCTTTAAATGACCCCATGGTAGATTCACGCATGTGAGGCTCAGAAAACACTCAGCTCCCCAGCCATGCTTCTTCCGAAGAGACTGGGACCCCGGGACGCGGCTGCTCCTGCTCCTGGCTGTGCCCCCCAGTGGCTAGAGCTGACCCCGAGCGTGTTTGAGCGCCAGGTCCTTTAGCTCGTCCCGAGTGTCCGGTAAATGGGTCCAGGAATGGCCAGCTGGGCAGAGGAGCCAGGGCAGACACAAGGCAACAGTTCCTTGCCTCTTCAGAAGGCTTTTGTTGCTGGAGTGACACATTCCTGTGGGTTGGCTGTTTATTTGTTTTTCTCTTTCAAAGCCCAAACATACATCCAGGACTCTAGAACAGTTCATGGAGATCCAGTGCCTGGCCAGCAGGGGTCAGAGTTGAGCCCCGGGTTTGCTGGGCATCTCTGCGGACCACATGCTGCGCCAGTCCCCCATCCCCGCTGCCTTGATGCCTCCCTCCCTGTACCCCCCTCCCCCCAGGGAGGGGGGCCCAGTCACCAGCTTCAAGAGCTCTCGTG